TGGTGTCGACAAGTGTGAGAACAAAAAAATCGGCGTTTTCATTTTTTTCACTTTTATTTTTTTTTTACCTCAGCTAGGATATCAGGTCTCCCTGTGATTTGAAAACATCTAACAGTTTGTCAGGGGCGCTTTGATGTGTGGAGTAAGGTTTACCGACGCTACGCTGGTTGGCTGTTACTACTGAGCAAGGAGTCCGATCCTCACCGTGTGCTATATCCTTGCACACGTTAAGCTGGACAATTAACAACTCGAACGTCTCTGTCTGGTGTAATGTTTAACGAGCTATAGTGAATGATCACTATAGGTCTTGGAGGGTATTCGTTCCACATTAAACGCACGATGACTAAATATAAGTAAATTTAAATATCTCCTTAATTTAACTTTCAAACTCTACAGATTAGACCCTAAAATACAGAATGTAATTAAATAAGGATAATTGCTGAATGCTACATACTCGTGGCCTTGTGCCAGGATAAGGTAAGTAAATAATTATTTATATCCAATATAATCTACCGTATATCTCCTTATCACTGTTATGAGCCAAGTTGAGATTCCTAACTTCCTCACTTTGTTTGGCCCCTTTTTTTAATCTCGACTGGTTCAGTTTTTGATTTCCCCTCACCCTTCATTTATTTTTCACCTCCCCCATTCCGTTAGAGAGTTAACCTCTTGATTCTGTCTAATGACAGAATACAGCGGCAACTCTGATTTTTTGTGGGGTGAACGGATCCTACTAACATCAGTTATTATCTGTTAGTTTCTGTTTTATATATAATTTTTGTATTGGGATTCAGAACCCTCCCCATCATATATATATATATATATATATATATATATATATATATATATATATTATGAATATTTGTACTTAAGAAATTTTAAATCATGGGGTTAATTTTTTATGTTCCCTTTGTGAATGTGGTATTATGGTATATGTCGGAGTAAAAGATGAAGGGTGAATTTTTTTGGTGAATGGGTTATTTGTATTGAATGAATGGGTCGTGAATCGGGTTAGCTAGGTAAAGGATAGGTAAGGATGACCAACCGCTCCCCAACTTTTTAGGCCATGTGCCACAAATATTGTATTTTACAATAATAAATAGAATCTATCTATCTATCTATTTCAGTCCTTTCATATATCTATCATATATATATATATATATATATATATATATATCAGTCCTTTTCACATCTATATCTAAGAAATTTTTTATATCTATTATTCTATAAATCTATCTATCTATCTATCTAGTCATATTTTTCATATCTATCTATCTATCTATCTATTTATCTATATCTATCTATCTATCTATCTATCTATCTATCTTAGTCTTTTTCATATCTATCTATCTATCTATCTATTTCATATCTATATATATATATATATATATATATATATATATATCAGTTTTTTTCACATCTATCTAACTTATCACTCTTTTCATATCTAACAATATCTATCTATCTATCTATCTATCTATCTATGTAAGGTCCTTTTCATATCTATCTCATCTATCTATCTATCTATCTATCTATCTATCTATCTTATTCATATTGAGAGGAAAGCAAAATTCTTTTTCTCTATTCATAGAATTTGTTTATTTTTTTTAATGGTTCAAATTGTTATTTTAGCAAAAGAAAAAAATTCTTTCACTCAATTAAAATTAGACTCTTTTTCGGTGCGAACCACTTTATTTTAGTAGTGCTTAATTTACTCGATTCTATTGTTCTTGTGCCATACTAGATTAGCGGAGAAGATAAAAATATAAACTTAGCAAGTGGTAATAAATAAAAAAAATGTCTTCATTTTGTATGTGTCTTTTACAAAAGAATTGAAAAAATAATTGGAAAAAATATTAAAATTTTCAAATATTACAATTGATGAAAAGAGAATGTTAAATGTTACTGTGAAAGCGGAAAATTGGAAACGCCCACTCTCTCTCTGTTTCTTTTACCCTTTCTTTCCTTTCTCACATTGCTCTTCTCTCACTCTCTTTATCTACCGTATATATTCACGTATCATGCAACTTTTAAAGTTAATTTTAGTACAATAAATGGATATATAGTTTGGCCAATGGCGTAGCCAAGGCTAACAATACTTACGCTAATGTTTTATATCTCATGTATGCGACCCTCTTAAAATTAGCTTCGAAATTAATCCTTCCAGAGTCGCATGATACGCGAGGATATACGATAATAAAAACTTCTTTAAACAGTTTTTTTTTTCATGGAATTACACTTCACAGGTCCTTTAGCATTCATTAATCTTTTCTAGCATTAATAAAACAGTTTTTTTTTGTTCTTGAAAATTTGAAACAGAAATATTAAGCATTATTCATTTATTTATTAATCGAAGTCGTGTTTATTTGTAATTAATATACAATATTAATTATATTTTCATATATTTATTTATTCATAGCTTGAAATATTAATTGTTGGTTTTCTCTATCTAAGTGTATATCTTCAAAGTTTCTTGCAACAAAAGAATCGGGCAAAGTGAATTTAAAAGGATTTGCTATTTGTCTAAAAGACTTTTTCTACGTATTTAATATATGGTATATGTTGCCTCCCTACATGAGTCAAAGTAGTTTCCATTTTTGAAATGGACCTTTTTGGTATCCATATTTCAGCAGTCGATATATATATATATATATATATATATATATATATATATATATAGCTTTGAAAATGATGAGGTCAGTTGAATCCGAGACATTTTTTTTTAAATGACCTTTTCACGCTTTATCTTTTTTTTTTTTTTTTTAAAAATTGAACGCTATATTATTATTTTCAAAAATAAATAAAGAAGCAAACAAACGCACGACTTCGGGTGTAAAAAAAGGAGGAGGATGTGAAGAAGAAGAAGAAGAAAGGGGAGGACGTGAAGAAGAAGAAGAAGAAGAAGAAGAAGAAAAATATACCAAGAAGAAGAAGAAGAAAGGGGAGGATGTGGGGAAGAAGAAGAAAAAAAAGCGGAGGATGTGAAGAAGAAGAAGAAGAAAGGGGGGATGTGGCGAAGAAGAAGAAGAAGAAGAAGGAGAGGATGTGGGGAAGAAGAAGAAGAAAAAAGGGGAGGATGTGAAGAAGAAGAAAGGGGAGAATGTGAAGAAGAAGAAGAAAGGAGGAGGATGTGGTGAAGAAGAAGAAGAAAAAAGGGGAGGATGTGAAGAAGAAGAAGAAGAAGAAAGGGGAGGATGTGGAGAAGAAGAAGAAGAAGGGGGATGTGGAGAAGAAGAAGAAGAAGAAGAAGAAGAAGAAGAAGAAGAAGAAAGGGAGGATGTGAAGAATAAGAAAGGGGAGGATGGGAAGAAAAAGAAGAAGGAGAAAGAAGAAGAAGAAGAAGAAGAAGAAGAAGAAGAAGAAGAAGAAGAAGAAGAAGAAGAAGAAGAAGAAGAAAGGCAAGGGGATTGTAAATCTATCGGTGAGAGGTTATTCCCATCCTCCTCCTTTAACACTCAAAGTCGTGGGTTTGTTTATTATTTTTTTAAATAATATAACGTTCATTAGGCTTTTTCTAAAATGAAGCGTTAAGAGGTCATTTGATAAAAATCGCCTGAGGAGGACGTAAGGTTGAAACCAAGGTAGCAGATTCAACTGACATCATGATTTTTAAAATTAAAAGCTCTACATGTTATTTTTTACTTAAATTAATCTTATTCTGTTAAGATTGGAGACTAATTATACATTCTTATTGCTCAAGTAGAGTCCAGTAGTGTTATAAAAACGTCGGAGAATTCCAGTAAGATATCTTTAATCATTTTTAAGATACAACGGTTCAGAGTTTAATCTAACAACTGCACAATTTGCTGTTACATAATTTGGACAATTTTGCAGTTACACCCAGTATATTTCATTGTATATGACAGACAAAGTGCTTGATTAAGTTTTTTACGCAATTAGATCAGTTATTTAAATTTACGTTTATCGTAATTTAAATAACTGATCCAAGAGCGACTTTTGGATAATAAGTGCGACATTACTGTAATTATTGAACAATATAGTTCATGCCACTTTTACAGAAAAATTTACCAGTAAAAAATTTGTTCATCACCATATTTGTATATGAACGCAAACACTTTAAAAATTTAAAATCAAACTCAGCGTTGCTTTGGCGCGTTCCAAAACCAATAACTCATTTTCAATAGCATTTTCGGATACAACAAACATATATTTTCGTTGTCCTCTTATTACTAAGAAAAAACAAGAACAACATCTATTCTATACCTGAAGATGTCTGTAGGAACAGACGAAAGCTTGTAGTAAAAAATAAGAACTAATACGGCAGAAATTTATATAAACAAGGATCAATTCATTCATAACGGATCTGGAGGTTTTTGTATATTATTTGAATTGTTTGCGATGATGGATGTCTCGCCATTTAAATCATTAACCTTTGCATTAGTTTTTGTGTGAATAATTCATGTATATATATATATATATATATATATATATATATATATATATATATATATAAATATGAACAAACTGTACATACCTATATATATATATATATGTCTGTACACGTTGTTTACATTTTCTGTTTTAGCGTCTTATGTAAACCCCGCAAATTGCACACACGCAAAACCTATAAATATGTACACATGTTTCGGATTCTGCTATCCGTTGTAAACTTATCCCCTTTCGACATACCAAGTGGTGCACGCATACATTTTATTACTTATCTCTGACCTACATCGAACAACATGCTCACTAAACAGCGTACTTACTAAAATAACGGTGAAATTCGTAGATGCATTTTTCGCGTGACTCTGCGAGAATTAACAACAATATAAACACGTAAGTCCCCTGCCCTTTACAAATTTCAAGACGCAAGTGCAACACGACCTTCCTTTAAGAAAATACCGCCTACATATTTCCTTGGCATCAGCGATCGGCGTTCTCGTCTAGGTATGAACCCTAAACACCAATGCTGATTTTCAAGGCTTCTGTAATATAGCTTCCTTGTGCCTTTTTCTATAAATACTTTCATAAATATTGGCTTACAACCATATCAGCTTTGAAACACCAGTTATCGTGCGATCATTGAAGTTAAGCAACGTCGAGCCTAGTCAGTACCTAGATGGGTGACCGCTTGGTAATATCAGGTGCTGTAAGCTTGGATGTATGGGTGTTGTAATAGATAACGGCTCGGAATTGGAAGTCGGGGAGCCGAGTTTCAATTCCAGTCCGATTCGATGTATTCACTTCCAGGCAAATACACTTGGGAAAGGTATCAATTCATCTCCCCCTCCTGCCCCCCAGCTATGGGTTAATTAGTAGGATGTGTATCAGTAAATTATTATTACCTCAAAAAAACAATTTTTAAAAAGTCTTACAATCTGAAGATATTTTCTGGCTTTAAATCACCTGCAAAAGGTTGATAAGCCGTAAAAACAATTGAGTTAATAAATCTGGTTTCATGTCAATTGTTTTGATGGAATTTCCTCTGTGGTACCTAGGCTTAATGAATTTAAACGCAGTACTAGATTGGCGGTAAGGTCTCATCATTTTGCAATTGTTATGACGGGATGTAACCGTAAGTTCTATGCTAAGAGGTTTTTCTATCGCACTTTTCGCCTGTGGAACTCTCTTCCGGTCTTTTGAATCCCAAATAATCTTTAACTTTAGAAGTTTATATGCAATGTCAATTGTTGTCTTCTGTCTTCTTAATTCCTGGTTTTAAAATTGGCGAAACACTTTTTTTTCCGACATGATTATTTGGTTTTGTACTATACTAAGCTTATTTCACTAAAACTCTTTGCCTTTGAAGTTACGATTGGTCTCTCCAGCTATTTCTAGTGTAGTGATTTGTATCCTAACTGGGTGACCTAAACTCAGAGGCTGTACGAAACTGAGTTCAAATATTACTGCTGTGAATTTAATCCTTACAGAGCGGGGAAGGAGATCTATACTTGTGGCCTTATGACAGGTTTTATTCAATTCAAATTAGTTTTTTCACGGGAATAGCATTTACTACACATTCCATGGGGGTACGATGCGACACAAGGTTGTTTTTAATGTCGGTTGCCAAGAGACGTACATATGAGCCCTTGACAAAAAATGTTCAATCTCCGCATCTGTATCCATTAACCCTATTTAGTGCAATGAAGGAGGTGTTGCTGCAGGTCTAGAATCCTCGGGACCGAGCAGCCCTCAAACCTTTTCCATGAACAGTACAGAATACGGTAGAGAGATAAAGAACAGCTACTACACTTTCATCCCGGCCAAAAAGACGGGGAGCGGTTATTCACATGGAGTAAGGCAGTACGTGACACAAGGACTTTTTTTAACGTGGGTGTCGATACACATATGGACCCAGGATAAAATATTGCCCAGTCCTTGCGATTAGTGTCAGGCTGGAGCCGTTATTACACCAACCTAGTCGCTCTTAGTGAATTGAAGAAGGTGTTACGGTCAGGTTGGAATCCTTGGGATCGGGTGTCTTCTATCATCTAAAATAAAGAGAGAACAGATACTACGCTCTCATCTCGACCAAAAGGATAGTGGGAGCGCTCAGATTCTGAAGAGAAATTTAAATTCAACACAAAAAGATTAACAATTACAAGCAGAAAATCCATTTCCAAATGAGGTTTTCAAATACGATTTACTGTTGATTTGTTTGCCATTAAAATCGATATAAATATCGTTTCACGTATCACAAAAGAGATCGATAAACGAAGGAATGAATGAATAAACGAATGAATGAAATAATGAATGAAATGAAAAATGAATGAAAGAAAGAACGAACGAAAATGAATGAAAGAATGAAAAAATAAATGAAAGATGAAATGAATGAATGAATAAATCTTGGAAAAAAAAATGAAATGAATGAATGAATGAACGAATGAATGATAAAATGAATGAAAAATGAATGAAAGAACGAATGAATAAATGAACGAATGAATGAATTTTAGATGAATGAAAAGAATGAATGAATGGAATGAAAATGATGAAAAGGAACAAAATGAAAGAATGAAATGAATGAATGAATGAAAAATGAATGAAGGAACAAAAATGAAGATGAGAATGAATGAAAAATGATAAATGAATAAATTAAAAATGAATGAAAGAATTAATGAATGAACGAATGAATAGATGAAGGAACAAATGAATGAAAGAATGAACGAATGAATAAATTAACGAGTTGATTTGAAAGAATGAATAATGAATGAATGAATGAATGAAAGAATGAATGATTGAAATGAAATATGGAAGAAATGAATGAATGAAAGAATGAATGAAGGAACAAAAAAAAAAAATGAATGAGAATGAAAGATGAATGAACAAATGAATGAAAGAATGAATGAATGAATGAATGAAAATGAATAAATGAAATAAATGAATGAACAAATGAATGAAGAAACGAATGAATAAATGAAATGAATGAATGAATGAAAGAATGAATGAATGAATGAATGAAGAAAAAAAAAAATTTCAAATTTGAAAGAAAATGAATGAATGAATGAATGAAGTTTAATGAATGAATGAATGAATGAATGAATGAAATGAACAAATGAATGAAAAAATGAATGAATGAAAGAAATGAAACGAATGAATGAAATGATTGAATGAAAAATTAATGAATGAAAGAATGAATGATGAATGAAAATGAAAGAATGAATGAATGAAAAGAATGAATGAATGAATGAATGAATGAATAAATGAAGGAAAGAAAAATGAAAAAAATGAATGAAAAATGCTGTTAAATGGAAATGAATGAAAGAATGAATGAATGAACGAATGAATAAATGAACGAACAAATGAATGAAAGAATGAAATGAATGAATGAATGAATAAAAATGAATGAAAAATGAAAGAATGAATGAATGAATGAATGAAATGAAAATGAATGAAAGAATGAATGAATAAAAAAAATGAATAAATGGATTAATAAATGAACGAAATTAGATCCTGAACAAATGAATGAAAGATGAATGAATGAAACGAATGAAAAATCAAAGAATGAATCTGGTTTGAAAATAAAAAATGAATGAATGAATGAAAGGAAAGAATGAATGAAAAATTAAAGAATGAATGAAAATGAATGAAATGAATTAATGAATAAATGAAACGAATGAATGAAAATGAATGAATGAATGAATAAAAATGTTTTTAAAAAAATGAATAAATGTTGCGTTCCGAATGTCGAATGAATTATCTGGATAAATAAATGAACTCTACTGAAAAATTAAAGACGGTTACAAAATGAATGAAAAGAATAAATGAACGAATGGATGAATTACTTGTTTTCAAAATGTTCTTGGGAACTAAATGCGTTCCGTGTCGGGGTAATTCTAGGAGGCAAAAGGAAGAGATTTTTACTTAAAAACGTACGTCATGGTTTGGCTGAGTGTAAAACTTTGTGTGAAACTTCGTCTGGCTCTCTTCGATTCTCGAATATCGACGCTTCAAAATGATTGCGGATATCCGTTTAATTCGCGCTGTTTTGGACTTATATCCAAAAACCCAGATAAAAGCAATCCATCAATGGCACAATACCACACCTACGAGTATTCTGACCAATCGTTGACCGTCCTGGACCTGGCGTTCGCATTCCGTAAGAAGAGACATAAGCGAAGGTGACATAAGCTTTAATAGATTTAATGACATTTCAAACCTTGATTGATGATTCTGTATCGAAATTATCACTATTTCTTTTTATGCATCACATTCACTTACGTACTAATACCCTTGGGAAAGGTATGAATCCTCTTTTTCCCCCCAGCTATGAGTAAATAGCAGAACAGACCGGGTTCTGTAGCCTTGTATGGCAACTGGTCTACCGCAGAAAGAAATGGCAATATACTTCGGAAAACAGATCTGCCTCGTCAGTCATGTATCGAAAGATACATGATCGCCTACGCGTGTATCACCCATAGCACATAACTGACTGACTTTTTATGCAATTGTCTGTAATGAATCTTCAATTTAATATTATTTAAATGTTTTCTTTTTGTATTATTCCGATGTAACCGTAATTCCTGTACTAACAGTTTCACGTACGATCATTAAGCAACGTCGATCTTGGTCATTACCTAGAGGGGTAACCACTTAAGAATACCAGGTGCTGTAAATTTAGATGTACAAGTGCTGTAATGGATAATGGTTCGTAATTGTTAATCGGAGATCCGATTTCTAATTCCAATCGGGGTCATTATATTCATTTACGCGCAAATATCCCGGGAAAGGAATGAATCCACCCCCTCTCCCCACTATTGTTTAATTAGTAATTATTATTAAAAAAAAATTATCTACAAAAATGTAAGAATATATTCCGGCTTTAAATAACTTGCAAAGGTTTTGATCTTCAAAAATTTAAATGCAATGTCAATTGTTATCTTCTGTCTTCTTAATTCTTGTTCTTTTATTGTCCTCTCTTCTTAAGAGAACTTTTTCTCATATTATCTAACACTCAATAACCCCTTGCGTCCTAGTGGCTTTATTGCCTTTGATCTTCAAAAATTGAAATGCAATGTCAATCGTTATCTTCTGTCTTCTTGATCTTGTATTGTCCTCTCTACTTAATAGTAGTTTTTTCTCATATTGCCTAACACTCAGTAACGCCTTGCGTCATAGTGGCTTTATTGGCTTTGATCTTCAAAAATTGAAATGCAATGTCAATCGTTATCTTCTGTCTTCTTAATTCTTGTTCTTTTATTGTCCTCTCTCCTTAATAGTAGTTTTTTTCTCATATTGCATAACACTCAGTAACGCCTTGCGTCATAGTGGCTTTATTGCCTTTGATCTTCAAAAATTGAAATGCAATGTCAATCGTTATCTTCTGTCTTCTTAATTCAAGTTCTTTTATTGTCCTCTCTCCTTAATAATAGTTTTTTCTCATATTGCCTAACACTCAGTAACCCCTTGCGTCATAGTGGCTTTATTGCCTTTGTCCTTCAAAAATTTCAATGCAATGTCAATCGTTATCTTCTGGTTTCTTAATTCCTGTTTTTTTTTATTGTTCTCTTTCCTTAATAATGTTTTTCTTTTTCTCATATCCTTTCACACACTGCAACCCCTTACGTCTTAGTGGCTTTATTTCCTTGCTTGCGGAATATTAAAGTTTATGCATTTTACCATCAAAGAACTTTCATATTTTTTAGAATATATATACA